TGGTTTAACATTTGTAACTACTCCGTATTTTGTTTCTGTTGCAGGACTTTCTTGAATTCCCTGTATCATTGTAGACCATGGTATACAGAGAAGCATACGAAAACTGTTGAAACAAGAAAGGCACAGAGAATACAGTATCACTGTTTGAATATGTGGTGATTTCTACTGGACTACATTCCGAAATAAAACTAATCTTGTCTTCTTTTTTTAAGCCAGATTGATGAAGCATTATCATGATGAGTGGAATCACTCACAACACTTACACCAATATACTATTAATATTACATCATTCTGAATGCTATAGTGACACGATCAGGTTTTGAGAATGTATTTACGACTAACCCAGCTAAGTGCTCAACTTTCTTCTATTTATCACTTATTTAAGTTCAAGTTGTGTGAACTATTTTTAAAATGAAAAACCTTAAGTGACAGTGAATATATTCTTTTAGTTGTAATGTTCTTATTTATTTAGCTGTGATTAGGAGATTTATTGGCAACACAGAATCATCATGTTAAGTTTAAATGCACAACTGATGGGGCCTATTGGATATAAATATTAATTCAAACATTTATACATACATAAATACAAATACACATGCCTCATTCCTGTTTAATTAAAGTGTAACATAACTACAAATAAATTTAGTAGGGACATATGTGATGCTTCTTCTCAGTGCTATAAGGAAGGCCTAAGCACATTTTCAAACCAATGGCCTATTGGTAATTAGGAGAAGACATTTACTCGAGTTAAAATCGTCCTAAACATCTTTGACTCAGTAGAAAAATGTCGTTTCAACTTCATTTGGGCTATTAAATGGAACGGAGAGGGGAGTTCACTTATCCTTGCGGATGTGATCATGCAGTCTAGTAGTTCACATTGATCGGTTTATATGCATATTTCGATAAAGAATCATTTTGGTCAAAAATCAAGTGTGCGACTGAATTTCAGATTAATACTTTGCAAATAGAAGCTAATTTTTTTATCTCATTTCAAAGCAACATTACAGTTTGTTTCATATAATACTGTACATAAATTCATATCGTGACAAATTCTCATCCCTATTTTTCTTTACGTCATTTTGTCTAACAGATAAACGGCCAACAAACGAAAGTGAATTATCAAGCTGTTATATTATACTTTATGTAAACCACAAGTGAACAGTTTTAACATTTCCAAATATGGTAAGTGCTAACAAAAGTTGGTGTGTGAGTATATATGCGCATATGCAAGTGCAGACGCTACGAATTATGTAAATGCTATTTAAATTGAGGATATATCTCGGTAGTTTTGTGAAAAGTAAGTTTTTGAAAAAAGCATATACATACGTATATATATATATATGTACATATATAAATGTCAAAAGACTTTAAAAAAATCGAACGATGCTTTTTAAACAAAAAGAAGTCAGCATGTAAAATTTCTCTTTTATCCGAACAAATGTAGAAAGGGGAAATTTTCAATTTAAACTTCACTATGAACGAAAGCTATTTTACTTTCTACACTTATAAGTAAGGCCGAAAATACATCATGCCAATAGCGTTTTCTGTGTCATTGTATAAAAATCAATCAAGTAAAATACAACTTTGCCTGTTCTTACATTGACTCTTAATAATATAAACCGAGAACTTTAAAGAATATTCTAAGAAATCTGCGCCTTAAAGGAAGCAAAAATTCTCACAATGCAGTTACCAGACATATTGTTGATACCGGTCATCTCTTAGAGATTTCTAGGTCCTTCAAAATATTAAATGGACAAAATACAGCAAATATACTATGATTTACCGAAGCGATCACAATCAAACGACTTAAACTAGACTTATGTATACAGAAAGAGAGTGTCATTAATCTCTTGCTACTTTGGTAAATGAATTTTGATTTTGATCACATTAATTAGTCATCTAATTCAGTGATCTCAACTCACTGAGCAAATCTCAATCTTATAAGCTGTAACCACTTTTGTATTCTGAGTTGCTATGTGAATCTCCAACCTAACGCTGTTCTATAAAACACAAAATAATCGAGCAAAGAATATTCTCGGCTCGATTATTTTGTGTTTTATAGATGTCTTAATGAATATTTTTGCTATATTGAAATCTTCTGAGCATCATTTTGCGTTAAAAGTACTCAACGTGTAATTGAAGTATAGCACAAGGCTCAGCGAAGCAAAGGCTACTGTTGACTTTATCCACCAGTGTGTTGAAACAAACCGGTACCCTGAATCTTATTGGAAATCTCTACGCCGTAACAGAGTCCGGCCTAATGATAGGACACTCAAACGCCATGCACCTAACTAAATTGACTCAATTCAATCGTGTATTACTGAGTTATCGAAAAACGTAAAAGAAAGGTTCTATGCTGTCGACGAATTACCAGAAAACTTAAGGAAACTATTTTTAGATTATGTGAATTTAATTGTGAGTAATAGGAAAGAAAAGAAACGCCTGAAGCTGGTACAGAGCTTAGAGAACAGAACACTATTCTGTTAATTTTTTCTGTTCTCTTTGTTACCCCTCCCACGTCTCTCCTACTTTGAAAGCGCATAAATTAATGATGAAAACTTAAACTAAAAATTGTAATGTTTTCATTTTGGATGCGTCAATTTCATAGTATCTCTTTTCTACTATCACTTAAACATTAAAGAATCTTATTATTATCCATATAACCATTATAATTTCAGGTAGTCTGCAGCTGACGAGAACCTGTGAAATAGAATGATATCATTTTATACTGCAAATTTCGTCTTTCCTCCTTCATCAAAATTCCTTAATTCATTGAGAATATTGATATGACATCGCTAAAATTCGTTTCTGCTTTGGCTGATTTCCTCTTTCTATTGAATTATTCATTTTTCTTTCTTGTAAGAATGTTGATTTACATAATTCGCTTGCATAACATGTTTGCAAAAACAATTGTCTGTCCGTGTGTGAACTCGTATATATGTGTGTGATACAGAGGGGGAAGGGGAAACATTTGATTGCATAAGAACGAGTATAGGCTTCACAAAATTATATTTAAAGATTCTACTCATGATAAATGATTTGCATAATAATTATGAAAGATTGTCGACCTCCAGAAATAAATCGTCTGAAGACATTGATAGCAAATATTAACCGAATTAAAGAGGCGACCCAAGGGTTGTCTTTTCATATACGATATAACAGTATCATTAAATGAATAGCGTTTCTAAGCACAATCATATTTTACCCTTACTAGGTGTTTGGTTAACTCACCATTGGAGGACTCATTGATGAAACTCTATCTTTACTTGGTTGAATCTCAACACTTTTATCATGTCCTACCTCCTATAAGCATATGTATGCAAAGTAGTAGCTGAGTTTTCTCCAGATAACTTATATTAGTGAGGCTTATCCTTGCAGGTCTAGGTCACTCAAAAGAAACACTGTCACTCAGTTGACATGATAAGGTGAGATTTTTAACTTGTTACTGTTCCCTTGCGTTCAGAGCGAAACACAGAACTCAAAAGGCATATCTCCATTCACTCAGTTCTCTGTGTTTTTTAGCTAGCTTCACGACTACCTTTCATTTCTTCCTGAAAAGATCGCCCAAAATTCACCCTCGGACGTTCACCCAGTAGTTTTCCGTTTTGGATTCTACTCAGTGACCTGGCGATAGATGTTATTCAACGCCCTCCTCAGCTTACATCCAGTCCATCTCCATTTCCTGCATATTTGTGGAGCAGTAGGTTCTTTGGTGGTTCGCTGCGCACTCAGAGCTCCTTTTTGCCCATCCTTTACGATCAGCTATCTGATCTTTACTATCGAGCGCAGGCAGTATAAGGATATACACAAGGCGACAGGGGTTTCACCAAATGGGTACACTAAATGTTTATTTTCCCAAATATTATATGATGAGGTTAAATACATAAGTCAAACCAGCCGATCGAACACAGGTTATCAGAATAAAAGAATCTAGGTTGCCCAACAGTGGCGAAAGCCGTTAGGATATACCATATAGATAGAAACGCGCTATTTCTGTGTACAAGCTTGCATAAAATCTCAATAGGGTGAGAAAATGCATCGAAAATAGAACAGTTACCTCGGGAGAATGGTTAGTCATCGAATCTTTGTTAATCATGCCAGTGCCAAACATGTGCAATAAGATCAACGCAATACCAGAATAAGTCGAAAATCACTTCAGAGTAGAACACGATCAAGTGAAAACAGAAGTACACAAAGCATGTTGGGAAGTCATTTGAAGACATTAATATCATTATAAACAATAGACTGTGTTGGAAAAACCATCCAGTTGACAATACTGTATCACTGTGTATCATGTTTAGCAAAGTTATTTAATTCACTGTACTCTACCACAGTGTCAAAAGGATACTTTACTTATTCTCACAACGCTAAAGAAAAATCCACTTAGATGTATTCAGTATATATTAGGTCTGTGAGACGTTGGTCATAAACACGAATAATGTCACGGAGAGTAAATCTAATTATAATGATAATAATAGAACTCAAACTTTTAGTCTACAAACTCAACAATGTTATACACTTTACATGATGAGGAGACAATCATGTTTTGCAGTGCAGAAAATTTCTGAATAAATAGTACCAATGGTTTCCCGTAGGTTTTACGGCAAAGAGGTAAAAAAATCTTTCTAGTTTACTGTCCAAATGAAATATGAATATGTAAATCTCGTAGGAAAAAAAGCCCAGATGAACGAGTGGATATAGTTTATGTGCTTGTCTGTCATAAATTTCACTTTGAATAAATACTTTTTTTATTATTTCCTTACTTCATAAGTGACAGTAAATTCAAAGAAGCGTGAATAATTTCACTTAGATTATCTCCAAAATAAGTTGGTGTTTCATTACGCATTCACTGTTACTTCAGAATTAAATGTGAAACAGCCAGTGAAGCGGTTATCAAGTAGTCTGCATTTAAAATCATGTCTATGTATGGGAGTGATGACAAGCATAGTACACTGTGAAAACAAAGCAACATTATGTACAGTGTGAAATAACAGACTTACTATTTTAGTTGTTTTCTTATCATCTGTTTGAGATTTTTCTCGTGACTTCTTTGACTGTTTTGTTAGTTTTTCTTTGCCTTCCTTTTTATCATCAACAGAGTCACGCGAAACAGTAGATTTACTTTGATCAGTTGGCAGTACAGCAGATTTTGAAGTGACTTTCTTTTTTGTTGAAGTAACTCTAGGCTCCGATTTACCACCGGCTGCTGATGGTTTTAAAACTTTAGTAAATATATGCGGATAATTTGTAGCCAAAAATTCCGAACCATAAATTATCGGTTGTGTTTGGTTACTTGAAGGTTTTGAGGTGCTGTGTTTGCCAGCTAGTGAAGCACAAGCAGGATGATGGTGATGATACTGTTGTGGTTTTTGTTCACTCTGCTGATAATACCAGTATGGTGGTGGTATTGGATGTTGTAATTGCTCTTGTGTTTGACGTTTATACACTGAGTGACAGTCAAAATTAAATAACAGTAATTACATGTGAAACAATAATAGGTGTACAATCTCAAATCAAACTACTAAGAAAATCACTTCGCCATTTTATGTAGGATACAGTGATACAATGTTAATAAAACACTTTTTGAGCGAAGGATACTGCTCATTATCTTCTCAGTAGCAAAAATGTTACCATGAATTTTGTGCATTTCTCAGTAATGAGTTCTGATCAAAACGTTCTTCAGTTTGCAATACTGTATCATTTTGCATTACATGAAATAAACTTACCTAAAACAGAGTTATATTCTGTCACATTGCTGAAGTTTCACTCTCATACTAAAAAAACGTTTATAATTTCAGCTTATCAGACTAAACCTACTTTCAAAACAGTTGTAAGTTAAATTAACAATCAAAAATAATGAAATTACTATTATTATTTAGTGTTCGGTGGCTGGCGGTGAAATCGAGAAAACATGTTCCGTCCCATATAGGACTAGTCATTTGGATGTGCCCAGTGAGTGACGGTATTCCCACCGACACTCCAATCCGGAATTCATTGCTTCAGATATCAAGTGTTATCCACTAGACCACCTGGACCACTTGATTTAGGCAGAAAATTACTGTTAGCTGCAAAAGTCTACGACCGATCCATTTGGAAAACTTTATCTAATCTGAATAATATCGATGTCAAAGTTATTCACAACAGAGAGGTAAATTCATGTGAATAACTAGAATTAGTTGCTTAATAAATTCAGATGGTCCGTCATATTGTCAGAATTGTTTTTTTGTAGGATGATTAAGGTTTTAAGTGCTTACGATACAGATCAAAAGGAATCTGTTGACAGTTTAAAATTTAGAAAACAAAAGGAATGAGAAATGAAATATTTACTTCCCGATTAGATCCTTATCTATGACTCTAGTTCGTTATATATACATATATATATGTATATATAATTCCTAATACAATACGGAAATTTGCCAGTCGAGTGATGGGATATTTATTAACAGTAATTAGTCAATCTCAAGACATCAGCATCATCGGGTTTCTGAACATCGTCCCGCAAGATTAGGTGAGGGACAAGAAAGGTTTGTTTGTAGTTGTGTTTTAGCAAACGTAGTAGATAGTTAGCATAAAGTTGAATTTAACAAAGTATTTGAATTTATCTATCGCATTTCAACCAATATTAATTTTTCTCTACGAGGTCGTTTGTTGTATACAGTTGAAGAAGTCAGTATCGACCTGAAGAAGCTAAACCTGTGTGCCATAGATGAGGATCAAAATGAAAAGGGAATTATCAAGCGTAAGTTTGTAGGGATTTGATTTGTTTCAAATGCGATCATGTAATGTTATCAGTTATAGAACCGCTGAAAACCAGGGAGTACTGGAAATCCGTTTCGTTCACTTTCGGGACTCTTCCTAAGTAAGCGGAGATTGTAATCAGTGGGGTTCACCAGATCATGTGTGAGGACAAATACTCACCAATGATACTGGATGAAGATGGTGCTAAAGGTTGCGAATAGATAGAAGTTAGAATTTATGAGCCACTGGATTTCCTCCCACTGGTTGAATCGTTGACGCGACCTCTTCGTAACATGAAAGTTTGAGGTCCGACCGCAGGTGGGGTCATGGATGAACACTGAGGAAAAGTACCAAACTAGGATGGGATTTTCGCTTTAGTTTAAAATTCATCAAGATTATTGAAACTATTCATTTGATAATTTCTGGCTACTTCTTGTGTTATTGGAAAATGAGTTCGTTAAACACGCATAAAAGTATTTGGACTGAGATTTAAACGCATCCTCTAGTGTCCAACACTCAAAAATTGCATCCAGTATACCATACTGTTTAACTTAAAATAAATGATAATAAAAGATATTCAAGTCATCCCTTATGCCAATTACTGAGATAAAAAAGTAGTCCCAAACATATCTGCGTGTGCTCTAATCTGACAAATATAGCAATTTTTCACTAAAATTGAAACTTTCTCAAGTAGTTTACACCTAATCGGTATTTCATTTTGCAGCTATTCAATTTTGCCTTGTATGTGCATTAAAGCATACGAAGAAGCAACATCTCAATAGCATCACTATACAATAAATAAAGTAGTCATTAATGTAAACAGTTGGCAAAGTGCAGCACATAAACCAATACCGCTTTCCTATTCACTAATTATTTGTAGCTCACAAAAGGTGAATTTTAACACACTGGTTAGTCATTAGGGTGTAACCCATGTCATACCCCTTGGGCATTGCTTTACTACTGACTGCTCCTGTGCGGCTGGGTGAAATATTGATGATAATAATAGCCATATTAGGCTTTCCCACAACGCTTAACCAGTCTGCTTTTGTCTAATAGTTAAACAGTTTTCACTACTGTCTGTTATTACATGGTAAGAAAGAAATACTCCCTTTTCAAATAAACTTTTTATCCTTTTTTCAGTTTGTTTTCAAAATTTCAAAGTAAATTAATCAGTCGGTACTTCAAGGGAAGTAAAAAAGAAAGTTTCTGATAAATAATGAAATAAAAAGAGGCAGGCAGAAAGACGTATAGGACTGAGAAAACATCTCATGGGCTTACATACATACATACATACACACATAAAATATGCATACTTATGAAGGCATTTGTAATACATTACAGCAGTGTTGATACAAATGCAGCAGTAAAGTGCACTTCTGATCTACTATATTTCTTCTATGCGAGAGTTGATTGAATGATTTATGTTATATTTGTGGGCAGTGAAATAGTTTAGCCACAAATTCATCAATTTCAATTGTAATGCTTATCACTGTTGATGAATACGCTATAAAATGCTCACTGATTGCAACAGAGTTTCATTCATATGATGTAGATGCTGATGAACTGTTAAAAGTAATACTGTCACTTAACAATGCAGATTCAACCTGCTGCACCATACTGCTTACGGCTTTTCACTAGAACCCCAAGTTGACTGCCTGAATAGGGCCAGTTGCTAGTGAGCATCAGATTAATTTTCAAGTATTGTTTTTGTAGGTAATTTTGTTTGATTAGTTGGAGAATTTCATCATGAGTTAAAGGTGAGGCAGCAACTCATCGAAGAAGACATTGCGAAGTGGTTGCGGTATCCCATGAATTGGCAGAATTAAGAATTCATGGCCTGACCATTGGATAGGGTCCCAGTGAGTGGCTTAATGGTCTACAAGCTCTCCTTGTAACCAGAAAGTCCTGAGTTCGAACCCTGGTGGTGGGTGCGCACTTCTGAAGAGTCCCAAAATTGGACGCAACAGCTGTCCAGTACTCCCAGTTTTACCAGTGGTTCTCTAACTGATGTCAGCACATGATGAAATCCTCCAATCAAATAATCTATCTACTTTTAATGCCTTTAAATTAAAACAGACACCAATGCATGCTCAAATCCTGAATAATGCGAAATAAGCACTTGCTGGTCTTCGACTTCTTACGAGAAAGGGTAGTTACTCTTCGAGAAAACCAAACTGTTACTTTATATCGTGTTAGAGTAGTTGGTCACTATAGATCAAATGTCTTATTAAGTGTTTCTGAGATGTCTTTCTATGATGTCACAAGTTACGGTTACTATGTATCTGCTTAGTTGATGACCAACATTATTAAACTGGACAATATATCTACTGGATGCCAATGAAATCTCCATTCTACTTAATCTTCTACTTTTTAGTGTTTTTGAGAATACTATATTTCACTCTTCTGGAAAGACTATCATTTTTACACGCATGTTCTTGAGACGCTGAGTAATGTTGCCCATTACAGTGACTTAGTACGTAATTAGGCATCGGTATAGCTTTACTTCTTCCCAGCTTGTGTGCATCAAATACCAGTCTCTTGTAATTATTGATATTAACATCTACATAGTCCTAGTATGAAATGGAGAGCTAGTCTACCATTCAAAGATATATATATATATTAAACAGACTTTCGAACACTTTTTATCTAACAGGAGATCTGAATGAACGGTTAGGCCGAATACTGAGTAGTGGTGAAAGTGAAAAGGATGGATGAAAGTTTCGTCGAATTTTTTTTGCTTCACAGTCTTCTTGTCTAATGGCAGTATACAATGCAATTAGATTATGCTCACTTGAATAAAGTACTTAATGAATGAAGTAGTTCAAAAAGTTTATGTATTCATTAAACGAAACGTTAATAGTTTAGCTTCCTAAAAAGCGTAGAAGATTCACCCAAATATTTTGTGTTTGATAATGAGAATTTGTATATCGGTGGGTCCGTCATCACGCAGGTGATCAGAGTTCGATTCGCAACTGACACATTTCTAAAACCTCATCTAGTTTTAGAGCCCTGAATGAGCCTAGAAAAGAATGAAGGTTGGGCACGAGATCAGAAAGCACAGCTTGTAGAAACAACACCATCACTGCTGAGAATTCAAAGCTTGAACATTTATGTCCCATTCGGAACTTCCAATGAGAATGAGTATCTGCATAAAATATAGTAGCACTGTCCTTGTTTTGTCATTCTTTGAACTATTATTTCGGAGGCAGAATATATATTGATTGTGACTTTGTTATGGTCTGAAGGTATTATCTTCAGCTTTTGAACAGAGATTTGCATAATGATAACGTTAAATGAGGAGATAAACAGTTACTGCTTATAAATATTCCTATATCATTGTATTAAAATATGAATATTTTTTATTTATTATTTTTTTTTTTTGATTTACAGCTTGATTCCACACTGTATTTTCGGTACAAGTATGGATGAATACTTTCTCCTGAATTTAGTTGTAGATTCATTAAATTACTAAGTGTGTAACGATTACATTTCATAAAGCCATGACTATATTGATTCAAGTTTTTTGTATAATAGCGTAACTGATAATATGTATGTCGAATATCACTGTAAGATGAATGCAGCTTGTAGGAGTGTTAAAAAATGATAGTTTATCAAATGTACATATATACAACTTGGAATAGGAAAACAAACTAGCAAGTTGAAGGTTTCACCATGGGTTTAACGAGAGAATGATGCAAAAGATTTCGTGAATGAACCAACGGGGGAGAAACGGCGTCACCATGGTACGGTATACTACAATATGTAAGAATATTATCGAGGATGACGGTATGTGACTGTATTTAGGCTACTTCAATGCGCTGGATACTTTGGAATAATAGAAGTGATAAAGTAGTCCATTTTAGACTAGCTATGAGAAATTTCGATAGGATTTTAATGGTGTGTTAGACTAGAAGGGGTATCGAAGAAAGGACACTGAGACTAAAATTATTTTAAAAGACAGGACAAGTAAATTATGAGGAAATGTAAAAAACGAATAGTACTCAATCAACAAGAGACAACGAGTAGATTAGAATATGTTGTTTTTAAATATAAAGTTTAGATTTGGCCAGGTATATATCCACCACTTCACGTGTGCTCAAGTAACTGATAAGTGATAAGATGCGTAGCATTAAAAGCTTTTACCTGTTGCTTGTGCAATCGGTTCACAGAATGTAAATGACTTTTTCCACTAAGAAAAGAAAATATCAATAGCCAATTTATATAGTTTTTAGTGATTTCTGCAGTCTCTCTTGTTCTCCTTTCAAATCAGTATATTTAACTAGGTCATCTGAAAATATTGGACTGTTTGCACCAAAGTGTGAAACAAAGTAGATTTACGCCTCTAGAAAAAAAATGCTATGGATTAAGTCGCTCTATTTCTGAATAGCTGGATGCAAATTCTCCAGTAAATTTTCACGTAAATCCTAACATTTATTAGGCAACAATCCAATTTGTGGACGAAAGCGAATATTCTGTACATGTAAAGTAGAGCTGTGGAATGACAGTATGACAATAAAGATATGAAAACTACATTTGCATACTTGTATAATGTTTTCCTATTGGAATTAGCCTGTGAAAACATTTCTTTCCACTAACGAGAATGTTTTTGTTTGAAATAGTTTTAGAAATACTGTGTTGATAGATTACACACACAGTGCGCAAACCACAACAGTTTACGCATCTAGCGTAGAAAAAAAACTAGCCAGGGCTTGAAAGGTACTCCACTTTAGTGCCATATATATTTCCCTGCATCAAAAATCTGCCATTTTTAAGTTACCAAACAATGTATATATTTCACTAACCTGACTTTGTGGTTGGCGTTGCCTCCAGTTTAGGCACCGGTTTTACAGAAGACACTGAGACGGGATATGGCATTTCACTTTCACCATTTTCTTCGCGTTCATCTGGAAGTAATGCTTGTTTTAACAGATGGGTTTCTGCTGTTGTTTTAATCTTTCTGTCATGTACTGTAGTGGATGGATGCTGCTGCTCCTGAGGTTGAGGTTTTTGTCTACTTGATGCTATTGAACTGGGAGTTGTTGTAACTGTTGTCAACGGGATTGTAGATATCAGTCGTTCTTGACTTCGAGATAGACTTATGTCGTATTCTAAGTTCGACTTGATAGTTTTTCGTTGGTCACTAAATGGACTTGAAGTGGAAGCAGTTGCAGCCGTCGAAATAGTAGTTGCAGCAGTTGTTAATGTAGAAGATTTCACCTTTCTTTCTCCCGATACACCATTCTTCATTTTCGATAACATTTCAGAACGTCTGTGCACACAGTGTTCATGGTGGCGGTGATGAGAATGTACATTGGCTGTTGAAGACGGTAATGTACGAATTTGAGCGATGGAATCAGAAATAGTAGGATAATTTTGTTTCATTTCACCTTTTGCCAAACGATCATTTTCGTCTGAAGCGAATAGTTCGGTTTCTTTTCGACTAGTAGTAAAAAAAATTGAATGTTAAATACAAGGAGGACACAGGTGCATATTTTCTCACTTATCAAAGTATTTCCTAAACAGATAATTTTGCTAATTAGTTACAGCTGGAATAAATATCAACAAAACCGTTTTTCATATAAAATGAGTTAACTGTATTTATAGTGTAGATTAAATAATATTTCGATTATTGCTTTTAGAACACTTTATAACTGACCTTAACCATGCGAGCATATTAACTCAATCGATTTAATGAGAACACATTTTTGTATTGTCCTATCTGGTGGCAAAATCAGTAAAAGTGAACATTCAGCATACTTTGCCTATTTTTCTTCACAAGTAGTTTTATGTTTGTTTTACATGCGTGCTGACACACGTAATGTCCCAGTTTCAATGCTTACTTTACTTTATTATGTGATTACTGTGTTTGGATGACCATAAATAATCATCACTGCACAGCCAGAAAAATAAATTGAACAGTCGGCCTACTATATGATTCATTTTAACTTTACATTCATGCATTTTAAGACATTTATTTGGGTGAAATTGGTGGTCTGTTTAAATCATTCGGCTACTTGAATTTTCATTCAACAGAAAGAATCAAAGTTTCTCTATTCCCCACTTGAACTGATACATTTTCGGCACTAATCAACATCAGTTACAGAGACCATTAAAAACCAAGGCGTGGTGAACAGTTCTGTCTTAGTTTTAGGACTTTTCAGTAGTGCGCCGGGAATTCAACCTAACACCTTCAGGTTATGAGATAAAGTTCGTTCACTGTCCAGTGACCCGTAAATTCTTCCTCTGTCAATTCGTATAATCCAATTTCTCATTGTTTTCATTGTCCATTTTTCTTTTACGTCGCAAAGTGTACGTCAGTACACTTTTAATCAGCTTTCAACCTAATATTTTGCATTCCATTATGGGTAAATTTTGTTTTGATAAAGTCTCACAGTTTTATACAGTAATGTTTAGTGATGACGTTTCGAGCACAATTTATTGCTCATAATCATATCAAGGTGTGCTCGGAACGTCATCAGTAAACATTACTGTATAACACTGTGAGACTTTATCAAAACAAAATTTACCCATAATGGAATTACACTCTACCACAGTGCACAAGTTTTATTCTTATATCAATAATATTTTGCATTTCTTGAAGATGATAAAAAAACATCATAAGGCATTGATTTTGGTTTCATATCGAACAGTGGTGCGTCATGTGAAAATCCTCGATGAAGAGTAAATGTTATGCTTTAAGAATGCTGTACAATCTATTTTTTTCTCCAAAATAAAGGTGTTATAATTTTTATTGAAACCCAAGCATTATACTTATACAAAATTAACACGATAATAGTAATCTGTGGCTCGGATGAATGATTTTGTTGTGGCGGTGTTGGGTGGCACGTTCCCGATTATATTATATCATTCGTGGCGAATTCAAATTAGTTCACCTCATAGTGATGTCTGCACTGAAGTTATTGCCTAGTAAGACAATAAAAGCCTTTCAGTTAAGCCGTCCATCTCAGAGAAAATAGCTGCATCAGTAACTGATATTAACTCTATAGAAAACAGTTGCCTATACAAATGTTTCCTAGTTAGCTAATAAATATGCATTCTACTAAAGACGCATTGAAAATAAAATCGTTTTAGACAGAGTTTGGAATATTTGTTATGCAGATGAATTCAACAACTTAAGTAAGTTGTACTCTTGATGTCTTGATTGCAATCTAGTTGGCAAGCTTCCTTTTAGGCAGAGCAATACTTTCGGGAAAAAACCCTTTGAAACAGGAAGAAATTTACAGTTCAAAAAGCCTACTTGCATGCAACAAATTATTTTCACTTAGCATAAATATCAGTAAATTACATCAGGGCATCAATAGCCACTGTCTTCATGTTCGGCAATATTATTCACTTGGTTGACGGACAAGACAACTACATTGAGTGTGTGAGGTTGATTTTCCCTTTGTGAAACACTGTACTCCATAGCACTGAAATGACTTTTCTAGTTTACAAATGGAATTTAGTATGGTAAAGATTATTTTACTATTCGAAGTGGAATATATAATGACCGAAACTAATAGTATTTTAAAAAAAGTATGTATTAACATTAAGCTGAGTACTCATCCAGTTTGACCTTTAAAGTTGAGATGTATGTACGTGTGTACTCAAAATCATACAATATTCGGAGGTCATAATTTAATAATCGATGAAAATTGTTGTTTATTGAATTACAACTAGTTCAAGTGTTTTGTAATTCATTTGGCCTTTTACAAAACAACATAGTTAATAATCCCTTTTGTTATTTTCTTACTCAAAACATCTTGACCTTATTAGAACCATTTTTAATCAATTTCCAGGTAGTTTTTATTGTAAGTGGAAACCTGTCAACTGCTTAAAATATCACCCTAATAATACCACCTGACACATTCAAGTCTTGTTAAGTGCTTTAAAAATAAAATAATTATCTATTTTATTTGTTTTTATTTTTGATTACAGCTTGATTCCACACCGTATTTTTGGTACAAGTGTCGAATTTTCAGCGTAGATATCAGTAGCCCAAAATTCGCAGGACGACCATAGATATCAGGTCGTTGTAGTTATAACCATGGTCAATAGGATTTTCTCTGTTCGGTTTGATAGAAAAAAAAACAATCGCTCTGTAATTTATTCCTTTTCTGCTTTGTGCTTATGTTATTTGAACTAGTCCATGTGTATAAGTATGAAAGGGTACGTGAAAATTATTTTCCCCGACTCAGAAGATGGAAATACACTTTTCAGTAACATATTGACTAACAATGAGTATATATCGGTAAAAATTGAGTAGAATGACAGTTTCTAAAATTAAAATATAGAACTAATGAAAATCACCTGCTCCCTATTTATTGAATTGCTGGATTACACATACGGTCGATTTTTTTTTCATTCCTTTGCATTGCGTCGGTGGCACAGTGGTTGGGACTCTCGCCGAGCATGCACATGGTCCGGGGTTCGATCCCCTACCGACACACACCTGATATCTATGGTCGGCCTGCAAAATTTGGGCTACCGATATCACATGCTGAAAATTCCATACCTGTACCAATAGTACGGTGTGGAATCAAGCTGTAATAAAAAAAATATATGAAAAAGATAGGGTCCCAAGTCTTAAGCTTTAATGTTTCAGAAGCGTATGCGTTTTTACGAGCTGAAGTTGCTAGCTTCACGACCAGTGTTTACTCTTTTCCAGGCTTAATAATGACTAGGCGAGGTTTACGGGTGCATTGGCGGAGGATCGAACCTGGCTAGCGTGCGTCCTAGTCCTGAAGCACCGATACACTCAAAAATTATCAGGGTGGGACAAATACCCTCTCTGAACAACAAGTCAGGAGCATAGCATGAGAGCATGCAACAGGCTAGGTACCCCGTAAGGCTAACAATAATCACTAATAATTTCGCGTATCTTTTAACTTCACGCCGAATAAACTGTGAGGGGAAACAGGCATTTATATTTCGTAACCGGTTTAATGTAACTTTGAGCGATAAGCCAGAATTTAAAACACATTAATTTATATAATATTAATTCGCCATGCTACAGATATATCCATTGAATGAACTATAATAGTACTGATCAAACATTTTATAATACTGACAAAATCGGGAATCAAATACTTATTCAATAACTGACCTTTAATTAGTTTAATTTCATTTTCGCTTTTAATGAGAGCTAGTTTCTTTTTGAATTCATTTTAGATAGAGTATTTTGGAGACAGGCAAAACATCTGTCTAATGTGATTTCAATGGAACCTGTGCAGTCTTAGTTTTGGTTTGCATGAGTCAGTGCCAGACTGCACGTTTATGCATCGTTATAATACACTTTATTTAGTGCTTAGAAACTTATTTTAAGTTAAGCTTTACGATACGCAGAAAATTACTTTAAATTGGATTTTAGTTCAGGGAAAATGCCTTTCAGTGGGAGGTAATCTAGGTAATAGACCATATTTAAAACACGATCCCATTCAGTGCTGAAATATAGGATAAAAGCTATCCCTAAGTAATTTCCACTAAAGGTAGATATAAAACCCCACGAAAACTAAATAGTATTCAGGAGCGTTTTAGTACTACTTTGATATTTTGCCGGCGTTTTCATTAGCAATTCATTTCAGATTCGAGTTTGCGATTGTCACATACTTCAGTGAGGATTTTAGTATCTAACCAATGAACCAGTACTGAGTTATCAATACAGCGAAACTGTTAGCACAGATCGTAGCAAAACTACATTGTACTTTCAGTTGCCACATCATATCAGCATATCATTATACAGTGGTATTAATAAGAAGTAGTCAATTACAATTCTAGCACAGTTTCAGTGAATTACTGATAGGCATTTAGTGATTATTCGATGAGAAGTATTTGTGAACAACCGGCTTATGTTTTTTCTAGTCTTTAATTTAGTCCTTATTTGAGGACCATCCACATTATTTCTCAATACCATATTTCTCAGTGACAGCAGACATACAGTACATTTCGCAAAACAACACAGACTAATCAAAGCTAAATATTTTTTCCAATGTAATATGGTTGACTTATCAAGCAACACGGTTAAGAATAATAATTAAAAGCTAAAGTCAGAAAAGGCAGAAAGCACAATGTATTTAAGTAAACAAACCAATGATTCATAACAGCTGATGTATACATACACTTACGCATATATATATATATGATAAAAGGATGTTTTGATGAATGATTAGAATAAAACGCATATATGAAAACATGATTTTCTCTCGTTGTTGTTAATTGACACGAAATCTCACTGGCTATGATAAGTTCTGTCAAAAATATTCCATGAAGATTTTAATTTTAGGAAAAGGGAAAGGGATTGTTTAACAAAAAACGCTAATATATATATATATATACATAGAGCGCTGGTAGAAGTGACTTAAACTTTACTAGATCAAGCAACAGATAAACAATTTATTGAAGAAAACATTCGATCAGTATTCACTCAAATTCATTAATTACCTATGCTGACTAGACAGAATAAACATACTTTGTTTGTTAGACAAACATAGTCATCAATGGCTTCAGAGATCTAGAAAACTGAATTTATTCCTGCAAGCCCAAAACAGTTACAAAATTTGAATGGTTGAAACATGCAGACTGAACATATGACTAAGTGTTAATTTCTTTTAGTACAATTGAGCAAACTACACTTAGACAATTTCTTCAGTATACTGTGATCAGATTTTCAATTAAGCTGTACATATTTACCGCATTCTTTGAATTCATATCAGATGCTTAATTTATGCAATGTAAAATCTACTCAAAATAAACGGATCCTTATTAAAATCTAGCAAAAGTTATTTCGTCGGCCAATTTTCGGGTTATATGTATAAATATGAGTAAAAGACGATTATACTCATGTTGTAAATAAATTAGTGCTTATAAATGCGTATGGATGAAAAGGCATTTCTGGTTAGGGAAATAATCATCGTTGTAGACACACATGGAAAAGAAAGCACAATGCTGGCTGTGGAACTTCAACAAAAAAAGTTAAAAGCATATTTGATACAGGTAATTCTGTTTACAATATGCTATAAACGAACGGCTCCCTGCTGATTAATGTACTTGATTTAGCATAGTTTCTGGTGTTTTTTTGAATTCAGTGAATAATATCAGCTTGGAGATAACGCGTGAACAGCGATGCGAAGATATGCAGCCAGTTAGTTAGTTGGTGATAATACGAAACTATGAATAATGGGCATCTTTATATAGTAGTTACCGTCTTAAGTGAGTACCCGTTTAGTGAAGCCGGAATTAAAAGAAATAAGATAAAGTCTCACTGTTTGTTTCCTATAGGGCCACGGTAGGCATTTTTCAACTTTAACTAGTCTTGCATACTTCTAAGAGATACTTCACCATGTCAAAACCGGGTGTTTTATTCTAAGCGTTCCAATTGGAATAAAGGGCTTTAGACTTTGAGCTTCGATGTTTAGGTGGCTGTGGTGTTGGGGATTTGCTATCCTTACACCCAACCTTCATGCGCCGGTGGCATAGCGGTTAGGACGCTCGCCGACCATGCACATAGTCCGGGGTTCGATCCCCGACCGACGCACTCATTTACCTCGCTAAGCCAGAAATAATTCTGGTGAAAAAGGAAAGGTTAGGCATGAGGCTAGCAATCCCATCCTGTAAAATAAACACTGCTTCAGAAACTTCAAGCCAATATCTTGGAGCCCTATGTTCTACTGGGGAACGTGAAGGAAAAAAAGCACTCAACCTTCCCTCATTTTTGGGCTTACTACTGCCTTGTAAACTAGGCGAGGTTTAGGGAGATGTCGGCCGGAAATCGGATCCTTACTTCAAGTGTGGCTGACGGATATTCTATCACTGAAAAACTAACAAGCAATCATTAGAACCGGATAAGCAGTCATGACAGATAAGCTGTCACAGGGACCAATGACATAAAGCGTTAAATCGGCTGTAATGTTGAATAAACAGTCGGATTTCTCTTATTTCTATAGATGCAAGTTGTTTGCTGTATCTCGTTTTACCCAAAGTTAATAATCACATTTTGATTAGTACTATAAGTAATATGCATTCAATAAACGTATATTTTTTAAAATTTAGTGTGTAAATACCATGAATATTTTACCTGATGTTAATTTTAAGTGCATAAATTGTGCGTGATCAAGAAAACAAAAATTAATGTCACTTGACCGAAGTCCCGGCATACTGATTACCTTCAAACACAGAGTGCAGATTTTAATCTGGAATAACTGAACATCTCTTAACTTCATTTAATAGATCCCCTAGAAATGATATCGTATTATGAGGAAAGCAGTGTTTGGATAAAATAACATTTTCTTGTAGAAACGTCTTTATTGACCCATTGTTTCGACATCACTGGGTAACTCTTACGTCTATGAATTGAAATGTAAGTCACTGAAGCAGAATGACAGTGATGAATACATTCGGTTTGTAAATACAAAGAAAAGTCAAAAGCTGAATATTTTTTTATGAACATGTCACCTCCTATGTAGTATTTGTTTGACATTAATGACAAGCGACTATTAAAACCGTTATTTTAACAACCGACCTTTGCAACCATTAATATATATATATATATATATATATATAAGATACAGGAAACTATAAATCACGAAGTAATTTGACGTAAAGTTTGTTGAGAAAATAACGGCTTCCACAGAAACATACATAAGATTAGTAGTTATAAAAATTTTCGACACATTCGGAGATTAAAATAAAATTCAAAGTTCTACGTCGACCAATTTACTGATATGTTTCTTTCTAATATGGTCATGTAATTCTGTTATTCTTCTTTCATTACTAATTCAGAAACCAGTCTCAAGTTATCGATATCTGTAAACGAAACGTACGTAGGTTTGTTGGCGAGATACGAACAGCAACAGATCAAAACCACAGGATTATCATTTTTCCTATCAAAATAAGCTATTGATAGCATATGCTGCTAGAAACTTGTAGTTGCATCTTTTTGGAAAGGAAACAAAAGTTGTATTTGAAACCGAAGTTGGACATTGTATCACAAAAGTTCTGCACAAACTAAGTTTCTTATCAGTTAAATTAAAAGGTGCAATAAACAGCAATATTCATTCACAGAAATGCAACTGGCTTGCACGATGTGTAAAATGTCAAACTTAAAGACTTTTATTTGGGAAAAATCTAGTTAGACTACTAACTAGGCACTCAGTGTAATGAAGCATAAAGATGCTAACACTAGTAATGGATATGTGAAGTAAAACAGAATGAGTTCACCAATGAAACGAAACAGAAATTGTTGATAAGCGTACACCAAACCGAAACCTTGAATTATAAATCTGCAAAAACTAAGACCTCTGAAACGTCCACAGTTACAAAGACACTTAGTTCAAGACTTACCTTTTTGAATGAGTCCTCTTGGAATGTCTTTTGCATGAATCACTTTCTTCTTTTGATATCTGTTTATAATGACTTGAGGGATACTTATGTGACATTTGTTTACTTGATTGGCCAAATTTACGGTGTGATTCAGAAGTAATCGGTATATCTAAATGTTGACTTTGACCGAATTCATGACCAGTAAATCCATGGAATGGTGGAGGTTGGACATAAGGAGGATATGGCAACTGAGACCCAATCGGTAGGCGAGAAGTGAAAGGAAAATGAGCTCCAGGTGTTTGATACAGGTGGAAAGGATAACCACCGGTGGCTGCAGCCAAAGCAGCTGCTTGTTGCCTTTGGTGTTCCAGGTGAAGTTGGTATTGTTTAACATCTACCGAACGAGGACGTCTAAGTACCACGTATGGCACTTCTTCAAGCATTTCAGCCGCAGCAGTCTCTAAGTCGTTTAGTGACATTAAATTTTGATTAGCATCAGCTGACTGATCCAGTTGTCCATGTGTGTTATGCTGGTGTTTATTCCTTTTCATTTGGTCTGATTTTTTACCTTCACTGTGCTTCCCATGCATATGCTTCACAGTTTCCATTGGAATCATACCCTGGATATATGATGTAGATGCACGTGAATCATCTAATTCGCTCAGATGAATACCTGCAGGAATTGAATTAGACAAATGATGACCATGAGCACATACGTGTTCATATCTCTGAAAGTGTTTCGAATGTTTGGATTTGCTTGGTGCATTGTTACGTGAAGTAAGATGTTTTGTATTAAATGCTTGTTTGTATCCAGTTCTTTGACTAGTCGAGATATCTTTCTCAGATGGGAGTATATAGGTATTAGTTTGTTCTAAGGGTATAGATTTCGATGCATGTGGGCAAGTTATTGAATGTTGTAACATAGGATTATTAGAATTAATACAAGGTACAGAATGATGACATGTAGTCGATGTATGCGGAGTTAGATCTGAGCGTATTATAACTCCAGTTGTACTTTCAGAACTACTTGAGCTCCATTGGTCCAATGATGCAACATGTATTGGTTCTACACCAGAGTTAAAGCGTGAAACTCCAACATCAAAACTAGAGAATAAAGAGTCATATGTTTTAGTCCCTGTAACCGAATTGGTTGTGCCAAGCGACTGTGCTGTAGTCGGAGATGTTGTTACCAGAGAAAGTGTTGAAGTTGTGCATAGAGATGTTTGAGTCGTACTGGCTGTAGAAAACGTTGGAGCTTTTGAATCAAACTGAAATTAAGAGAAAGATTCACTTAATCTCGTAAACTAAATTTTGCACATAAATTCTAGGACATTATTTCTAACGTTACAAAATAGTGATCCATTCAAATAAGTCAAAAATACTTTTACCACGGTTTAGATAAACTTACATAGAAAAATACAGTTTTTCATTGAGAGTTAAAATCGCATGATTCTTAAATCCAACATTTTTTAAAATTATGAATTCGTTCATTCTGAAGAAAAAGGTCAGTTGATTTGTAACAGAATTAGATCGGTAGATACACCAATAACCACACTATAGATTTCCGTGACCCCCATGTATATTGTAGTTAGATGTTTTACCAATTAGGTAAGAGATTGAGAAAACTAACTTCTACTTTACTGTCAGCTGATTCGTCCATGACCTTGTAACCTTTTTCAACCAGTAAAAATACTAAACGTATGAATTCATAGGCATCTTTAAATACAGTATCTACCAATCAGAAAAGAGATTGAAAATGTTGCCTATGTGATGTTCTGTTTTATATTATTGATCTAGTAAAAAATTCTTTTGTACTTCAAAGTTTTCAAACATTCAGTTCATTCGATATGTAAATCAATCCACCTTAAAGTGTAGTTACTTTCCTCTCAGCTGTGAGTTCTTTTCCGATTCTCCTACTTTCAAGAGTTTCATACTGACCCAGAAAACTTTAGGTGTTACTTCAAATCTACTTTTGGTCGAAGATCTGCCAAACAAATTCCCCTATATAAATGAAAAAAGTTGAATAGATCGATGAACGCAACACAAAAATTTATTGGTGGTGTTGAAAACACCTCACTCATATAATAGAACTTCGGATAATAGAGTCAAGTTTCCTTATGAGATAAATGGAGAAACGATGCATACAATTACATGACATTTCGAATTAACTATTGTTGAAACTGAAACTCGTTTTGGACTACTTCAGGATTATAAAAACATGAATTCAGATACAGCTCATGGTAAAAAAGTACCAGTGGTTCCCAACCTTTTTGTGTTTCGCAATCTAGTGAACTGATGGTGCATACCATGAACGCTATCGAAATGGATTTCACAAGGGTCAGATAAATAGCCCGTGAGATCTATTTGGATAGTGCTTATTGAGTACAGAAAATAGAAATGGGCAGAAAAATGACCAGTTTGTATTTTGACAGGCTCCCTAAGTAGTAACAAACTACCCTTGGGACGTGAAGAATCTGAGACTGATCCCTCCAATCCAAGTGGAAGATAATTGCCATATCATAATGTATTTTTAATAATAATAATAATAATAATAATTGCTTTATTCCAAAAACAGCACTCATGATACAGCAAGGAATTTTCAGCATTCAGTACATAAATGAAGATCTCACTTTGATTATTGTAATTCTCTACAGACTAACGACTGCGTTAAACACTTCACTAATAAACTATTTCGTTAAACTGAAAGTCCGCAAAACCAGTTTCTCAACGTCAGAAGAAAAACTAAAAGAGGTCAGCTGTGTTAGAAGTAAGACGAAGTGATATTGATGAGGAAGAATTTACTTTTGTATTCATGAAAAATTTCCATCCAGGAATTAGTGAGAAAACAAAACAAGTAGTTTAGCAAATTCATTTCTTAACTGTACAATAGCACCGATATACAACTATGCTTATGAGAACTCATCGCTCTTGTAAGTATCCTCTTTTGGAATTAACTTTCATGTACAACAGGGATTTCTATAAACCTTCTTCAAAAAATATATGAAACTTCCATTACTACACATAGAATGGTAGCATACTGTCGGTGGACTTATTAAATGCATTTACTCTCTGTAATTGCTTAGTATGTCATGAATCTTTACAATGAAGAAAGTCTTAATTCATCTAAGCATAGCAGAATCCAAACAAAGCAAGAACGAAAAATGAGCACATCCTCTATTATTTCGAGGATTCTTTTCAACTGTTTACAACCTGAACAATACAAAAAAATATAAATTAAATTAGTCATTTGAATATATTTTTTCGCGATGACAAAAAGTTGTCTGGAACCAAGAGCAGCATAAGTCCAGAATGATGTCAGTTATTAAATCACTGGGAGTTGAAAAGATTTTTCGATGTGAACTGAACAGAGCCACTGGAGGTAATGAGACTCAGTGTATATGTCATACACAGAGCTACTAGATATCTATGCTTCAACAAAGGTAGGTTGACAATAAACTAACAGTAGTCAAGTTAGGTAAATCATTAGGTCAGTGAGGTGTGACTAAATATTCTCTCATCTATAGAGGTTTCTACACTACACTATAGTACGATTTTTCTGGTTACACACTCAAAATGATAATATTTGTGTAATAATACGCTGATAAACCGAATGACTGCAAAACAGATGGCCGACTGATATTTTGAGAAACATTACAGTTTCAATTAAACATTTCCAGTATTGGTTTTGAAAGGATTGTTTTGCTTGATTGGTTGGAAGACTTCATCATAAGCTGACATCAGTTAGGGAACCACTCGAAAACCTGGGAGTACTGCACAGTTGTTTCCTCCCCCCTAGTTTGGGACTCAACAGTACGCACCCATTGCGGTTCGAACCTAAGACCCTCTGGTTACAAGGCAAGCCTGTAGACTATTGAGCCACTGAAACCCAATGGCCAGCCCATGAATTCTAACTTCTGCCAATTCATGACATAGCGCGACCACTTCGCAATGTCTTCTTCGATGAGTTACTGTCTCACCTTCAACCCGTTGTACTTTACTGGTCACGGATTCTCACTCGAATCCCAGGTTAACTGCCTGAATAGGGCCAGTCGCTAGAAAGCATCAGAACCCCGGTTGGTGCGTACTGTTTAAGAGTCCCGGACTAGGACGAAGCAACTGTCCAGTACTCCCAGGTTATTCAATGGTTCCACCCTAAGTGATATCAACTCACGACGAAATCCTCCAACTAATTTTTAAATGTGCTGTTATTCTAAGATGAATAAGCTACACATCAGCAATAAATCCAATAGTCTCATACATACAATAAGTCTGTTTGATTCGGAACTCTAACATTAACTCTTTCAGGCAGCCTGAGGGGATCGGAGGACTTATCAACTTTTCTCGACATTGAATGAGTAAAGCTGAGTAAATAGTGTATAAAGACATATAAACAAGCGTGTAAACTGTACAAAGTTCACCAATAAACACATATATTCATCATATAGTTTTGACTATCGATCGAAAATTACTTAAACGATAATGAAAATCAAATAGTACTGAAGGGTTATTAATCATATTTAGATAAGTATGTGAAAATACTTCTGAAGCATATTTAAGTAAAAGGAAAAAGCCCCTGTATGCATTCGTTAGCTATAATGAACCGTTAGTGAAAAATATCCATGTAAATAGGTATCTTTCCGGATTCATTACTAAGTTACTTGCACAACCACTCACATGAGTGCCTCAGAATAGGTTCATTTATTCGATTTTTACTGTATGCATTTAAATGTTCAGAATTTATGTAGCAAGGGCACATTTTTCGTGTATCAGTCTATGAGTCAAGTATCAGACAGCTAATTCACATACTTCTAAATGTCCTTTAGAATTAGTTCTATAACGTATATCTTCGAATCAGCATTTTGCTGAAACTAAAGTAGCCAATAATTGTTATTTTTGTGTGCGTCGGTGGCACAGCGGTTAGGACGCTCGCCGACCATGCACGTGGTCCGCAGTTCAATCCTCGGCCGACTCACTGCTTTACCTCGCTAAGCCAGTAATAAAAAAAGCTAGTAAAGAAGGAAGGTAGGGTATGAGGCTAGCAACCTCATCCTGTAAAAATAAAGACTGCTACAGAAACTTCAAGCCACCAGCTTGAAACCCTCTGTTCCACTGGGAATGTGAAGGAAAAAAATTTTGTGTTATTTGGTAAAACCTTGAAACATTTTCGGCTTGCTTTTCTTATTCCCATATTAATAAGCTCATCCACTAAAAGAGATTATTTTTCGTTTTACTTAATTCAAGCTCTGCACATTGGAACTAGAATGTCAAGTCTATAGATAACCTAAATGATTGTGTTTTAGGGGTTAGAAGAAACAAACGAATGATACTTAAACTGTGCAATATTTTCAGCATTTTGTATAAAATAAAATAAAATGTCCATTACGTATATCAATGCATCATAGTAGTATTTTTGCTTACCTCATCTAAAAATAAACATCCATAGGTTTCATTATCACTTGGTTTAGTTATAGACTTGACTAAATCCATGGGTTCATTTGAACTACTTGTGAATCCAAAAGTTTGCAGAAAATCACTTAGTTGTACTCTGTTTGATTCAGTTTCTGATTTAGGTAGTTGTATGTCTCTTATCGTTGTATCATTTGACTCGGTTGACTTCAGTAACGTAATATCATTTAAAGTTATTGAAAATGTATCTTCGTGTGGTAAAAAGTCATATAGTATTGAATGATTTGGAGATAACAATTGGTCGGTGAATAGTTGATTTTGGGATGGCTTAGTACTTGTTACATTTGTTGTATACGTGGTTGACGTTGACGGTGATGAAAGAATTGATAGGGATGTTGTGAATGGTGGTATTGTGATAGATGAAGCAACAGTTTGTGGTCTTATAGACAGGTTAGGTAACACTGACAAAGTCATTGTTGTAGCTGTAGAACTGTCAACTGAAGACTGCGCTGCACTTGTCGCGGTGATACTGCTTAATGGTGATGTAGAACTAGTTAAGCTAGTTATAACACTGGATGATACTGAGGTGGTACGGGTGAAAGATAGGTCTCCATCTAAACTGATTTCCAAACCAAGTTGAGTAACAGTCGGCAAGATTAATGTAGCCTCATATGGTCGAGATTCCACTAGACTGGCTGTAGTAACATTTGATGAATATGCATTACCATCAACTGCATCTGCATTATTACCAGATGAATCAGGCCTTTGTGAAGCTTATACCAAAGTAGAAGAAAGCATGAAATAAAGATTATTTACACATTCACAAACTCGATTTATTTGTTATTCTTCTCCCTTAACATACTGACCAATCTGCCACAAGGAAAGAATAAAGTTTCAGGAAGGAACAAATCTACTTTTTTGATTTTTTTAAATTTCAGCCTCATTCCACACCGTATTTTTTGGTACAGGTATGGAATTTTCAGCATGTGATATCGGTAGCCCCATTTCTCAGGCCGACCATAGATATCAGGTGAGCGTCGGTAGGGGATCGAACCCCGGACCGTTTCCATGGTCGGCGAGATTCCTAACCATTGTGCCACCGACTTGGAAGCATTGAACAGCAAATTTGTCGTTTAACCTCTATGTTTGTAACTGTTTACACAGGCGTTAATCTCATGAAACTCTGAGACACAAGCATTATCAAAGTAGGATATGATTGCCAATTAAATATTGAAGTTGGTACACCTTTTACTTACACATTAAGAATAGAAACTGAGAAGTGAAAATATAACATTAAAAGCTTGGAATTGTATTTAACGGCATATGACAAAATAGGAAGAGGTCTTGGTGATAAAGAGTATAGAGTTAAATTTGGGATATAAGTTTAGCAGTGTGGTTGGTTTTGATTAGTACTAAATCCATACTCATAGGCTCCATCAAGACAGTCAGTGACATTATAGATTTGCCTAACTTATATACTATAATATACTTTCTTCTAACCTTATGATGCTTCTGACAACATAGTGAAAACGAATGGGAATAATTAGTATACATTTTTGTAGCTTCATTTGAAAGCGTCCAACAATTCACTAGCCTACCTCTGTTACCTAAGGCTTTACCATAAACGTTATGTCACTCGTATGGTTCTCCAATCAAAAATGACTAATGTCACGAAAACAGTGACAGCTGATATCATCGTTCATTCCGTAGGTTTCACAATTATCTCTATCTTTTCAGAAGTAATGTAGGTTGATGAAAACCAGATAATGAAATGGAATCTTCGGGAAATACATAATAATCTGTTCTTCAGACGACAAAAATGTTGTTCTCATTGACAGCATAAATGATTCAGTCAAACCAGTCAATCATATAACAGTCCTAATTAAATGATGTGTGAATGCAAAGTAATCCTGAATCAAAAAAATGTTTGATTTGGGAAGTGAAAATTCCTGATAGACATCGCTAGATATAGGCGTTTCAGAGGATATTCTATAATATACTTAGAAGTTATCATCAGGATTTTCTTATCATGCTTATCTTCATGTTGTCTTTCAGAAAGGATATTGTCAAAAGATTTCTCTATATGAATGGATTCGGATGTTTTACTCAGGCAAATGGTTACACAAAATCTAGTCTATTCAGTATGCAGTTAATTCATGGCAAAGTCTAACTTGGAGAGTGAGTCACAAAGAACGGGTTTTACCAAGACTTAAGATAAGCAATAGTGAATAAACACAAAAGCCTAGGTCAGGGCGGTTTTCCTGCTTTGAGTCTCTACATCTTGAATCTAATTTTAAAAAAAGCATCATTTAAATGTTAAAATATGTTGTTTTTTTTGTTTCAACAGTTAGGATTTATAAAATTGCGCGCAAATATAAGGCAAAAAGAATAATTTTCCGCACGGACAAAATTTGATTGCTTTTAGTGCGTACAGTTTCATTACTCATACAAAATATTCAAAATCTCACTACCACTCAATGTTAGAAATCCAGGGGTAGGAAAGGAATTTACAGAATTTCAAAACTTATGGATATTTTAATCCACTGGAAAAGGGTTAAATTAACTCTTCTAGTTGAATTAGATGTTTTTAGTTGCTTGATAGTTTCACAGTGTTCTATAGAATCGTATTGTAAAATTACAAGGTTATTGAGGTTTAGTTAGATGAAGATTTCCAGTGACACTGGAGAACTGTGAATGAAAGAAATTAAGTATGGGGATTAAAGTTAGGAGAATTGAGTTTATTTAGAAAAAAACAAATATGAAAAATCGTAACATAGTTAAAGATTTTTGAAGCGAAATTATTTTTCTTTCAATATATAGTGTGCCGTGGTAAGACAAATTCTAGTCGGTTAAAAATGTCTTGATCGAATATAAATTGTAAAAGTACATTGTGTTTTTCTCTGTAAATACAGATGCTGAAATATATATATATATATATTACTATGCTTTACAACTGTGAAGTAGCATTTTATTCATTTGTAAACAATGGACTCTGCATGAAATGTTATCCAGTAAATAAAATTATCTCACTCTATGACTTCTGTAATGCTAACAAACCAATGGAAAATAACATACTGCAACAGTGTCTCAGTTTCGCAGATAATAAAATTAGGGCTAGTAAAGAAAAGAAAATGAAAATAATCAACAATTCTTCCTAAGGTCATAGGAAAGGAAAGCTTTCAGAAACTGAATGACTGTTTAGATATGAATTCATATTCACTTAGACCATTTCAAATAAAACAGTATGACTTTTGCAAAACTACTGCATGGAGTGATAAACTTTTTATTTGTGTACTGTGTTATGAATACTTTAGGGAAGTAGAACATTTCCAAGAACAGATTAACTCAAGTCCCATTTTTAGTGAATTCAATTAAGAAATGAATTATCAAAATAAGGGTGAAAGAAAGAATCACGAAATTAGGCAACTACTAGATATTGATTTGATATTCTGTAAATACTGATAATATTATTATTGTCCCTTACTTTGGACACCAGTAAAGTAAGCAAACGTTCTGGCTGTAGATAAACGTCATAATACGTAATAATAAATACTGAAGCTTTTTCACGTGTTTATTAAAGGTCATTTGGAATCAGATTAATATCACTTGGTCGAAAGTGTTTGCAATAACGACCAGCTTGCCATATATACTGTGATCAATATTTTACCTTACTAATTAACTTAATTACTCTTACTGTGCGTACCGACTGAAGATTTAAGGGTGCAAGAGTCTTCTTCCAGTTGTTCCTTGATGTGTTTACGTCAGTGTGCAGAACAGATTAGAGCTTTTATGCAAATGATAAACAGGCTGAGGATTAGACTGCTGTAGTGTGGAGCTGTGGCTCATTGCTTTAAGTGCTCGACTTCCAGTTCACAGATCGTCGCTTCCAACCCCACTCCCCCTACTGACTCTCAAGTAGCCAGAGCACGTCAGAAGCCGTTGCGCCATACGCGTGGCTCATATACGACTACATGGAAATGCAAGTGGTTGTTGAGTAACATTTCATTTACTTTTCATTTTTAGACTGCTATCGAATTAAAACATTAAGAAATGCCTTGAAAGTAAAGTGTCTGAATAAAGCGGAACAATGAACGCCCAGTGTTACAAACTATGTAAAGGAGATAAATCAATATGCAGCTGCCAATTTCAAATTCCCATATCTTAACAAAAGAATTTTATGAAATATTTGTTTTAACAGTAGAATGAGAGACACACTGGGAAGTTTGTCTAAATGAAGAATGAAGATAAAAAGGGAACATCTTAACAATCATTAATATGGTTATAATTTGTATTTAACACATGAAAAACAAAATTGATAGCCGATTTAATGACGGAATGCCTTTAGATTGAGCACAAACTCAAATTCTAACACAACAGTACAATCAAACTGAATACAAAATGAAGTGTTGATATTCCTGAACAATTACAGGAAATATATCATTCTTGGTTTATGGAATAAATGAGAAAGCTTGTGTTTAGAACTTAGATATTCATTAGTGAAATACACAAGCTGTAATCAGTGTATCTGAAGTGTTTCATATACTCTCTAATCAATCAATCAATCAATCCCTGAACATGGCGTGGAAAAGCAAAACTTGAAGAGCTTAAACATTCACTAAGTGAATAACGAGTTTAAATGCAATTATGCTTAACCGATCTCCTATTTTATTGAGAAAATAATAAGAATATCAAATCTAGGATGCTTTTACACAGAAATAATAAATCGTTAACTAGTATGGTTTTCCGTGTATGTGAGTTAACTCGACAATAAACTGCCAATGATACACAGCAGAAAACAAGAATTTTATAGGACATAAGGGAAACAAAATAACAAACATAATTTATATAACTGCAAGAGCAAATACACTAGCGAATTACAATGAATTAAAGACAGTATAAACAAAATCGAGGTAGGTTACTTACACATAGATGTCATTGGATTTAAAATATTAGCTGTATCCATATGTAATTGAATTATTTCGCCCAGTGATGGTTCCATAAGTGTATTTCTTTCAAACTGAATAGGCTTTAAAAGAGAGAATATCACAAGAACTGGGTAAACAGTAGTCTAACTTAAGTAAGAAAAAAAGTAGACAAATGAATTACTTCATACGTAAAATTTACTAATTAGGGTATAGGTAACTTCAGAATTGGAATTATTGATAACAATAGTTGTCATAAAAATGTCTTTCTCAATGAATTTAATCGACAAAAGAGATAAATAAGGTAGATTGTATTGAATTTATTGTCTCGTCGTTTTTATGTCAGTTTTGAATTGGCATTATTTTCTGAAAAATGCAGTACAAGTAAAACAACTCAGCTCATTATTACTTGCACTTGATTATAAGTGAGCAATGAAACGGGCAATTTTTTGACATTGATTGTTAGGAGAAGTCAATCTCTAGGATATCATAAGATTTGTACACCCTGGTAGTAAGTCGGCAAAACGTGCCGCCATTATTGAGGGAATTCACCCCCCCTACCCCCACTTCGCATTGCAACTGTCATAGCCACCTAGACCTGGTAAAAATCTACAAGTTGGGCAGGGTGGAAATCAGTCGATATATCCTACCCTTATTGTAAGTTAGGTTAAAGGCTTATCGATCAAGTGTTCAATTTAGTGACTCCGTTAATTGGTGCTAAATTAAACCCGTGATCGGGTGACCCAGTTTTCTGGCTAATTAATGAACAGTAGATAAAGATCAGGAATAAAAAGCTGAAGAAACTATATGCCATTTATGCGTATGCCTTATTTGTCATTTTGAGTTTCATAGCGCCTGTTTCTTATCCACGTCTTTAAAATTTGTAAACCTAGCGAAAAACACAAGCTATCCTGACTTTCATATCAGTGGTCTTTGAATATTTATCTGATCAGTCTATAGAGTGAGTCTACAGGCCTGAATGATAACGCTTTCCCTGGTGCAGTTCATTTGTCAGCGTAATATCTCTAAAATAAAAATGTAAATTTCAAGTATTGGTTTTTTGTAAGGATTTTGTTTGCTTGGTTGTAGGATTTCATCATGAGCTGATATTAGTTAAAAAACCACTGGAAGACTTAGGAGTACTGGACAGCCGTTTCGTCCCATTTTGGAACTCTTTGGCAGTACGCACCCGACGGGGTTCGAATCCAGGACCTTTTGGTTACAAGGCGAGCCCGTAGACCATTAAGACACTGGGATCCGATATGTGAATGAACGAATACTTTTATTACACTAAACGTAAGCATACAATGATGATCTTGTAAACTCAATTCTCACAGCTTTGCATGAAATAAATTTGTGTGCTGAATTGTATATAATGATATCAGGGTTGACAGCGTTTCGTATGTGAATGCGTAGGTTTGTTCATCAGATAAGAGGACAGGTCAGTTTGTTAGAAGTTCTCTTACCCTTAACAAAATGTGAAGATGAGGTTTATTTTCAGAAGTACTTAAACGATACTAATTAAAATCGCAGCCTATATAATATCCATTTACAAAGTTAATAATAATAATAATAATAGCAATATTTTTCGATGAAGCAGTACCTAATATTCTTAAGTACCGACAAGTTTAGTGATATAAGTGTTAATTAATGAAAACTAGATATAGGAGGTATTACTCGTCAGTTTTGACAATTTTATACATGCATGTATATTTATTTAATCCTAGGTAGGGTGATTATAACATATTTTGACCTCCTGAATGGGAACACATTAATTTTAAATAGTCAATACTTACTTCAGAAGACAACTTCATACTGTTCTCTTCGCGTGTCGTTAGAATTTGCGATGTTCGACGCGGCTTAGGAGGCGGTTGTGAATATTCAGAACGATGAAGTGAATCTGGTTGACTAGCCAGACTTTTAGAAGCAAATGAAAGAGACCAGCTTGGCTGGCTGTCTGAATCAAAAATTGATGTATGAATCAAATTAAATGAGCGAGATGTATTGTAATCACTTAAATGATGTTCACTTGCCTTAAAGCTACTTAAGTCTGGAAGTTTCTCGTTGCCCTGATCGAATGAAGGAGATGATGAAAACAAGTATCCCCTTATAGAACCATCCTGCAGTAGATCAACCAGATTCGTAGACGTCTTACTCGACTGTGACTTCTCAGCATCTTTATTCATACCATCCGAATCATTTTGAATCGGTTGGTCAGATAAAGATGTCCGGTCATCTTTGGAAGTCAGAAAGGCGTCCAGTTCCAGGTTAAGACGAGACAGTGAGGCCACAGCACTCTGACCCGGTGAACCAGCCTCAGATTTCCATGCACGACTTGAAATATCTTCTTCCAGGAGTTTATTCTCGTTATCTCCACTCCAATCTCCAGTCATTCTTCTCCCCGATTCACTTCGTGAGTCTGGCTGTAACTTATCCGCTTCACCTTCTTCCAAGTCTTCGATATTTCTTGGATGGCTACTTCGACCGCTACCAGTAGCACTTCCAGACATTGTAGCATAACCACTGGTAGGTAGTGTTGTTATCGGTAAATGAATATTTGTTGGAGATCCGTCCACTATTTGTTGGTTATTGCTGATCGCATTAACCCCCATACTTTGGGCTCTTTTTAATGCTGGTTGTTTGCCCAGTGTACCAATCAAACTTCCACTCATATTTCCTGACATAAAACTGCGCCTGTCGGCTGAACTTGATCGTAGTGTAAGTGACGCAGAATTTAGTCGCCTTTTGGAATAGGTGGGTCCGGTTGTTTTGATTGTATTAAGTTGTCTAGCAGCCGATGGCCTGTCAAAATAGACAAAAGAATAACAGTAGATTCAAACTTCCATTAAGTGTGTCATAGGGGACATGACTAATGCAAATAATTCATACCTTAACGTATCACGAAATGTTTGTTAATTTCATTTAAGAATTAGACGATTTTTTTTATTACAAGTGAAAACTGTAAACCTGAAAATTAGGTGCAATTGTTTTCTTACACTAACACTATGTAGTATAATTGCATTGTTGCATTGTAATTCTACAGCTAATAATTTAAAACCTCAGAGAATAAGCTCAAAATAATGATAATTAATGATTACTTGGTCAAGTATTCTGTAAATAAGGAGTTCGTGACGCACATTTTCATAGGCTCCAAAATGTGTATGACAAAAATAATTACATGATTCATTTTACTTTGGTTAATTCAGTTGCCCAATAGTTCATGCAAAGCAACCAGTAGCCAGAAAACAGGGCATCTTAGCGATGACATCGACATCAGTGAACAAGCCTAGGACTTTAAATGGAACAATATGAAAATATTACAACAGACAAAACAAAAACTGCAAGAAAATCTATAACAGCCCTTAAATCTAATACGTTTATATGACTAAGAGGGAACCAACTAAAACAACAACTAACTAGACACTAAACTTGGAGGATCTGGACATCGCCCAAGATGATATATGTCTGATCTCCCACTAACTGGAAGCTATGCAGGTGAAAAGCAACAAGTTGGCAGAAGAAGCATCCAGAGAAGATAGGACTTCAAGTGAACATAGATAAAACAGAGGTGATGAAAATTCCTGGCCAACACCAACAGCAACAACAACAACAGACAACAATTAGGCAGCATAAATGGGAGGAACCTGAACGAAACAACCTCCTTCACCTGCCTACCTGGGAAGCATCATTTCAACTACAGGCGGACGGAACTAACGAGGATATCAAAGCCAGAATCGGAAAAGCGAGACAGGCTTTCATTACCCTTAAGTCTGTGTGGAAGTCAACATCACTCAGCATCAAAAATAAGATCCGGATTTTCAACTCCAATGTGAAGTCAGTCAAGGCTACTATACGGATCAGAGACTTGGCCAGCGCGTCATAAAGAGCATCTCCAACAAACTTCAGACCTTCATTAACAGTTGTCTTCGCTCAATACTCAAGATCATATGGCCAGTCAGAAAAGATCAGCAGCAGGGTGGGATCTCTGGCAATGAGCGAACCAACACAGCAGGAACCGATTGTGAAACAAATAGGCAGGAAGAAGTGGAGATGGATTGGCTGGCCATACTCTGAGGAAACCATCAAGTGACATCACTAGACAAGCCATTGCTCGAGTGGAACCCGGGCGGGAAGCGGCGAGTTGGTCGTCAGTGCAAGCAAGAGTGACTTGGAGGAGGTCATGTGAACAGGAGATGAAAGCATGTGGGCAGACTTGGAGCGGAGTGAAAAAGTTGGCAAAAACAGAAGGCAATGGAGACGTGCAGCTGAAGCCCTATGTTCCTCTAGGAATTAAAGGATATAATAATAATAACTAGACTCTAATCCAACAAATAACTAATTTATTAACATAACTCACATTCATACAATGTGTCTAAAAATTTCATATTGTGAATTGTAAATCATATTCTTTACATTTCACTGGACAATTTACACATATCGTGATGGAATTAAAAAAAACACATCACAAATCTAAATGAAGCCGGCGTCGAGAAAGTCACTGGTGTGAGAGACAGTTTACAATCAGGTATTAAGGCTCATATATTATCAAAACGTTTGTCCGCTATTAATCTTCATTAAGCAGATGCATCGCGAAAATTGTCAATGTGATTCACTCAAATATTTTGAAGCAAAGGTAATGAGACGTGCTGTCTATTCTGTAATGCATTTTTTGCAGCAGACAGAAATTCAGCTTTACATGACACAATTTAAAGTGATTTTCCTGAATGAATTAACTATAAGAGAACATACGCTAAAAAGTTGGCGACATTTCACGTTTATTAGCTGAATTAATGAAACTTACAAGCTATTCATTAAATTGACACAGTAATAACTTATCTTCCTGATATTACAAAGTAGTTAAAAGTGAGCAAGGTGAATATTGGCTGCAATCACAATATTCATGATGTCTGAATGTAAATATTTTTATCGCTGTAAAAACTGAGAAATAAAATGAAGATTCAATGTAAGGAGAAGTCAGTCGAAGGGAACTCCAATGCAACATTGAAAATGTCATATTCACCCCATGTCTAGTAACTTCATCACTCACAGGTAAAGTCAGATACATCAGCATAAAAGATTTCCGTAGCATGAATAATCCAGTGCATACAAATCAATCGATAAGTCATAACCTATGCGGAGATATTATTTCAAGTGTTTATGAAAAACTAAAAGTGCACTGTTACTTGATAGCACATTATCGAGTTAGTTCGTCGCCATCCATTGAACAAATCGCCAGATAAATATACTCCTTAATAATATCAATGGAAGCCATATTTTGTAGAATAAATAATCATAACTTGTAAATGGCCGATTATTATTATTTTTGCTTTACTAACACCTAGTTGAAGAAACATTTCATGTTTGATTATGGTTAAATTCAAGATGGTTTTCTTTTTTCCGCTTTGACTATTATTAAACCTCAATGCATTCGAGTCTGTGGTTCACTGGTAGCATACTTGCCAGCCAGGTCCGTATTCGTCTCCTTACCGATTCATTTCGCTTGTCTGGAAAATGAGGAAAGTAGAGCATGGGACAAGAAATCCTGCCAAGCAAATACAACACTCTGCTACTAGAATTTCAGAGTCTGAGGCTCTATATTCTGCTGAGAAAATAAAGAATGACGAAAAACCAAAAGTGCATGGAATTTTCAAAATTCAGCTTCCTCTGTCATTTGTGTCTATTACTAAAAAATCAAAGGTCATATTCATTCCCTAACTTTTATTCATATATCTGAAAGCCATAAAACAGTGAACATTTTTGCTGTAGTCCGAAACATTCTAGGGGAATAGTGTAGTAAGAGTTCAGTATGAGATTATTGACCTTTTGTATAACTGCTAATTGATAATTCTGTCAAAGAAGTAATATGTACTTAAATCATTTAGCTAGTGCACTTCTAAATAAACGTTAGTTCATTTGCTAAAGAAAGAAGTCCGAAGGAGCTAATCACTCTGTTAGACTGTTAATCACAACTATCAGTTAAAACATTACAGTTTCTAGTCGAGCAGTATCCAGGTTTACGAATCACAAAGTTTTCTAACAACTGATGATAGTAACGATTAATCGGAACACGTCTCACAGACTTCCGTTTTACTCAAAAGGTTGTGCTTTCTGAAAACAGAACTTTAAAACTAACTATTAGAGTCCGCAATAGTATAGTGCAACTAGGGAAACACGCTTCAGTTATTCATTTACTAAACCAACGCATTCATATTATAAAAACTCAAATAGTATTCAAACAGTCCGGTTAGAATAAGCTTGAGAACATTGTTGTTGACTTATTCTATGCAATACCTTTCAAATGGCAGTCTTTTTTCGTAATTTCTCTGAACATATTCTTGCAATTCCTGTTGTGTACGTCCAGTATATCTATAAAAAAAGCAAGAATAAACTAGTTAGAAGGAAATGGGTCATATAAATTTCTAATTAGGAATGGCAAACAAATGTAAAGAAGTTATAAATGCACCCACGAACACATCCTAATGAATATTAATTTATTCTGCGGTTAATAAAAATTATTATGTGGAGTCTGTACTGAGTAGCTGGACACCACAAATCAGTCAGTGATATTTGCTAGTCAAACCAAGGGGTTACAAACACCGGTAGGCCATTTCACTTTCTTTTGGCCCGGCATTATCAACTACATACCCAGTTTGACTGAGCTGAAACAGCTGAATCAGTTGAAACCACCAAAATTCTAGTTAAACTGTTATAGTGGAATTTTGTTCTCGCTTCATATGAAAAACTGTACTTTATAGATGTGATGTTTAAAACGTTTTGAAAATTCGAATTTGTTAATTTCCTCATAAATCAGAAGATAGAGACGAAAATTTATAAGCGAAACTTTTTTTGGTCAATAAAGTAGGATGCAACTGTGTAGAAATATGTGGGTGGTGAAAAGATTCTACATATATTGTTCTAAAACAATCAGACAATCCATTAAGTCGTAAATTTACAAAACAAAACCTCTAAAAGACATCAAACTTGAAGAATATCTGCGATCAAAGCAAGAATAAACATAACTGCAGGGTAAAAGAAGCTCGCATTTTCTATTTCATGGCCTTTCATCAGCTGCTAAGAGCCTGAAAATTGACGCAAGTAATTATAAATGCAATAATATATAACATACTTCAGCTGAAAGGGCATAGTTGGCGAACAAGAAATATGAATCCAGAGTAGGTAATAATCTAACAACCCGACTGTGCTTATGCATAATGTGATGGAAAATTCGATAGGAGATGGTAGAATTGAGAAGAAATGGAAAATAGCAGTGAAATTATTGCGTAAACAGACAACTGAGAAAATAGGAAGATTAGTAGTGACTTCGGGTGAATGAGTTGTATTCAAAAACACTGTGACGCAACAGAAAATACAGACACAAAATAGAGACCTCCAGTAACTAGGATAGTGTAAGATTATTGGCACTATCTTCCTGTACACAGAAATTAGATTGAAATGGTTTGGTTTATGAAAATAGAAGTAACTGAGGTTTCTTCTGTATATTAATTATTCTGAAGACTTGACTGATTTCAACTGTATGTTCCTTGTCAGTCAGGTGCCATCTGAGTTGAAGTAATTTTTGACGTTATATATTTATACTTAAATTAACTTATGTTAGTTTTGGGCTGTTAACAGATGAAGAATAACCGTGAGATAAAAACTGAGCTCTTCTTACCCTGCGAATACGTTTGTTCTCGCTTTATTCAGATTAATCAAGGGAAGTGTATGCATGAAATCCTTGAAAAATTTTGTTTATGTGAACTTAAGACGGCATCATTAGTATCATGAAAATTACTTGGTAATTGGTAAAACTGAGCTTCACTTATAGAAGCATATTGCATAAGGGAAACACTTTTGGGCCGGTATGTGTGGAATTCAAATACATTTTCCCTCCCAAAGATGAAAGAAGGGGAACTGTGCATCAACAGCTGAATTTGGCATACAAACGTTTGATAAGGTTATGACAGCTTAGCAAAGACTGAAAATTCACGACAACTATACTTATCTTTGAAATTATTATGTGAATAAGAAGCATCCTCTTATTGTATATCATAAAAGTGATAAGGAGACACTGTTTGGTAGCAGTCTTTTTACTCTCTGAAGCTAAACTTTAAAAAGAGGACGTTTCTGCGTTAGGACATAGCTTCTCAAATATTTTCTTCAAAACTTACCTCATCAACTGAAGTGAAGGAAAATATTTTCTTCAAAGAGTCATCACACTACAAAATATCTGCAAATAATTTAAAAGTCTGCAAAATAAGAGTGTGCATTTACTCTGAATTTCTTTATGAATGTATGTTAAGAAGTTGAAACCTACTTCAGAAATGTGATTGAGATTCAAAAGAATAGCGTTTCACTATACTATAGTGACTTTATATAGACCATTTAGATTTGAATAGAATGATAATATGTTTACTAAACATCCTAAACTAATAGAAAAGTCTTATAAAGCGTTTTGCAATAAGCTGTTAACAAATGATTAACACAAAAAATATATTGCTTTGTCTGTGGCGACACCTGGACTATTGGAGAAAATTCTTATCAAGATATATTTACCTTAAGACTTCTAATTCTCCGTAGTGTTTTGGGCAGTTACGAAAACATATAATACAAAGGTGAATGGCCTAATAACAAATGCAATGTAATGTTGCGCTAAGCTTCTTAAAACTCGTTGTTATTTCACTCAGTGCAGTGTAAGGAATCTATCAGTGGTAGTTAAGTTCTAAAATCATTATTATTATTATGATTGTTTCCTTAAATCCTAGAGGAACACAGGGCTTCAGCCGAACATCTCCATTGCGTTCAATTCTCTGCCAACGTTTTTACCTGGCTCCACGTTTGCACACACGCTTTCAACTCCTCTTTACCTGACCTTGTCCATGTCACCCTCGCACTGACAACCAACTCGCCACTTCCCATTCAGGTTCCACTCGGGTCATGGCCTGGCGTGTGATGTCACTCACTTGATGGTTTGTTTCCTCAGAGTATGGCCAATCCAATCCAACTTCATTTCTTCTTGCATATTTGTTTTACAGTCGGTTCCTGCCTGGGTGGTTCGCTCCCAGAGATCACTCACTATTGCTGACTGGCTATCTGATCTTGAGTATTGAGCGAAAGCAGTTATTGATGAAAGTCTGTAGTTTGTTCGAAGTGCTCTTGATGAGGCGCCAAGTCTCTGGTCCGTATAGTAAGCAGCACTGACTTCACATTGTAGTGTAAAATCCGGATATTATTTTTCATGCTGAATACTGTTGACCACCACACAGACTTGACAGAAATGAAAGCTTGTCTTGCGTTCTCGATCCTCGCTTTGATATCCTCGTTGGTTCCGTCCGCCGGTAGTTGAAATGATGCTTCTTAGGTAGCTAGGTAGGTAGGTAGGTAGGTGAACGAGGTTGCTTCTTTCAGATTTCTCCCTTTTATGCCGACTGATTGTTGTCTGTTGCTGTTGCTGTTGATCGGGAAACTTCATCACGACATCTGTTTTCTCTATGTTCACCCAAAGGCCTATCTTCTCTGAATTTTTCCTCTAACAACTTGTCGCTTTTCACTTGCATATCTTCCAGTTTGTGGGAAATCAGACATATATCACTGACGAAGTGAAGATCCTCCAAGTGTTTCGTATGAGTCCATTTTATGCGTGTCTCCCTGTTGCTTGCTTTCTGTCTCACTGTCCAGTCTACCGCAGTCAGGAAAATCATTGGAGACAGTAGGCAGCCAGACAGCTTGTCTCACTCTCGTCTTCACTTTGAAGGATTCCGTGAGTTCCCTGCTGTAGATTACTTATTATGCAGCGTTGTCGAACGACTGTTGGGTGAGGTGTAAAAATGTTGGCGGCACCCCGTAGTGGCGAAGTGGTTTCCAAATCACCTCTTGATTGACGCTGTCTGCTGAAGGACTTTTCAAAGTCAATGAAATTGAAGTAGAGTGCTGACTTCCATTCCAAGCTCTCTCCAATTTTGGTATGTAGTGTTGTTATTTGATCAATGCATGACTTGTTTCTCCTGAATCCAGCCTGTTCCGGTTGCAGTTTTTCATCCAGGGCGTGTTTGTTTCTCCGCAGGATGACGAGGCTTAGTATTTTGCTTGGAATGGATAGGAGCACAATACCATGCTAGTCTCTGCACTGACCTAAGTCCCCTCTCTTTGGAAGTTTGAATGGGTAGCCTTTCTTCCAATTCACAGGTACCCTGCCCTCTTTCTACACCTTCTCCGTCGCCATCAAGTCCGTTGATGTCTCTGTGTCCATTTTCAATGCTTCTCTGGGGATTCCGTCTGATCCTGCTGCTTTTCTAGTTTTTAGCATATTATGGTCTTCAGGATTTCTGCTTTCATCGGAGGTCTGATGTTCACTAGTAGTTCTGCTTCCGCTGTTGGTATTATTGAGCGCGTTGTAGGTGGCGGTCGATTAAGAAGTCATTTGAAGTGCTCAGCCCAGTGTTTCTTTTGCGCCACCTCTTAGGTGATTGACTTTTCATTGTCATCCTTTACTGGATTAATTTGTGCTGATCTCTTCCCCGATAGGAACCTAGTTGTTTGGTAGAATGTTGTGAGGTTTCCTTTACCTGCAGCTTGTTCTGCTTCACTTGCCATAGCCTCATAATATTTTCTTTTGTCTTCCCTGGCACTTCTCCTTACTCTTTTGTTCCCTTTTTTCCGTGCTTATTGACAGCTACAAAATTAGGTAAAGTTAAGGATAGCGTCAGTCAGGAATCGAACCACGGATCACTTGCGTGGTTGGCCAGTAATCTACTGATGAACCACTGATGCTCAACGTTTAACATAGATTTCATTATGAACCAAAATTAGTCAGAAAATCGTTGAAAACCAGGAAGTACTGGAGAGCTACTTCTTCTTGGTGTGCTATCCTTTGGCAGTGTGCACTCATAATCCCACCAGGGATTGAACCCAAGAGATTCTCGTTAGAGGTTAAGATCCTTTGACCTTTCAACCATCGTAGAGCCAGCCAAAACAGACTGTGGAGAACATAATTATATCTAGCTATGCTGCTAAACCCTTATGTTCCATTCGGAATCCAGGGGAAAAATAGTGATAATGTTTAATCTTTTTAAATCGTAAAGTAATGCTGAATTTCGGTTTGTTGTTACTACGCTGTACTTTCCTGTCAACACACTTAAACCGCCAAAGAGGGGAGATTTAAAACAGAAACATTTAAACACAAGTTACCCTCTGATTAAAAAACAGCTACGTTTCTTTCAGCTTGTAGAAAGATATGTGAGTTAGCAGTGGACATTTTCTGTAAGACTACTTAGAATGGTAATTTATCTTTTAAAAATATACTTGATATCATTTCTAGGAAAAAAATAAAACAAGTCAAATATTTCTAATCTATTTGCTTATGTCTGTTA